TTAAGGAATGAGAATAAGGATTATCAAAAAATAATATGGTTATAACTGGTGAAAAAGTCCATGTTTTCCTGTGGCCGGGAAACCCAAAATATGTGTCAGATCAAAAAGTAAAATAGGAGGTGCACAATGGCAATATGTAATAAAGATTCTGTGAAAGTTTCATTAAATTTCATTCAGTGGTATGAGAGGAGTTGCGGATAAGAGATGGGTACCCCAAAGCGTAACAGACGGACGGACGGACGGACGGACGGAATTAACGATTACTATATACCCTCCCGCTTTTCAAGCGGGGGGTATAAAAATAAGCAATAAACAAAACAATATGTATATCCTTGATTGTGCCGTTATAATTGTCACTTGTATTGTTTTTATTCATCTTACTGTTTTAAAGGATTAAGACGTTTTATTTACTTTAAATGGATAATCAAAAACCCCCTTTGAGGAAATTTTCACAAAAATTTTGAATACGGATTTGGTGCTACATTTGAAAACAAAATTGAACTGTACTTTTACAGAAAATTGAATTAACACTTTTGTAACAGAAAATAAATTAAATTAAAATGCCTTTGCTTGTAATATTCGCCTTAAAGCGTTTTAGGTCTTCTCACTCTCTATATTAAAAACTAGAACGTGACGTTTACTTTACATAAGAAATAAACAGATGACAAAGAAGATACATGATATCTAGTTTATATAGCTTGCATGATCATGAAATTTAAAGTATGTTAAAAAGAAATCTAAGGAACATACTGTGACAAATTCTTTGCCTTTAATTTGAAACTGTCCTTATTTTTCTCATTTTACAAAAAATTTCCTCTTTCGATTATGCCCCGTGGGGATCCGGGTTAGAGTAGGTCCTCAGTACCCCCTTGTTTGTCGTAAAAGGCGACTAAATGGGGCGGTCTTTCGGATGAGACCGTGTAAACCGAGGCCCCGTGTCACAGCAGGTGTGGCACGATAAAGATCCCTCCCTGCTCAAAGGCCCTAAGTGCCGAGCATAGGCCTAAATTTGCAGCCCTTCACCGGCAATGGTGACGTCTCCAAATCAGTGAAATATTCTGGAGAGGGACGTTAAACAGTATACAATCAATCAATCAATCCTCTTTCGATTGTAATCTAAGCTGTTTTCATACTTAAAAGCAGACACAAAAATAGTGCACTTGCACCATAAAAGGTACCCTGTTTAGGTGCCTTATTTCAAAACACATTCTTAAATATTATCTATTCATTTAAAAGGAATAAACGTTATAAAACTCTTGTTCTCCTTCCTATTCTTCGAGATTTTTTTGTCACAAAATAATGCTATTAGCATGTAAAATTTCACTCTCTGTTATTCAATTTGCTTTTTAAATCAATCTCGAACTACATGAGAATTTAGAAAATCAAAATTAGCCGATAATAATGATGTTAATTTTCTTTTTACATTTTTAAAGATTGTTTTGTATTCATGTATAATGTTAATTTTGATTTTGTATTTGACCTCCTCCTAGTCATGGGATAAATAAATTCAATTGGACAATCAGACGTAACTTTGCCAACCTGTGCAATTAAACGGCCTCTTTTTCTTTCAAGAGACAAATAATTCAATTTTCTTTGTGATTTAAAACCCTCTACCCGCCCCAAGATTATGCTGCATTCAAATAGTAAAATGCACTACATATTAGTTCATACATGGAAAGAAATGTTTTTTTGGTGTTTTTAATGACTAATGGGTGTGTAGAACACATATAAACCTGTCTATTTCAAATGCACTGAGGCTTCATAACAAATACGCCAATAAGCACTTTTTAAAAATTAATTACGACAAATTAAAATATACAATATTTTTTTTGATAATACAAATTGTTGGGAAATAAAACATTCTTTATTATAACAACAATAATTTGAATTCTACAATTAACATTCCGCATTTTTTTTTTTTTTTTGATATTTATTAATTTCATAGAATTTGATAATATAATATAATATAATAAATTTTATGAATATAATAGAATTTCTTATTAAAAAAGAAACCAAACCTAACACTCATAAAAATCTAAAAATAATCATTAATATAAAACTTAAATGCTCAAAAGATATTGAAGATATTTCAAAATTTGTTCATTTTAACTGAAAAAATGGCACTTTTTCTACTCTAAGTACATCATTTTCCTTGTATTGATTTGATTGATTTGCAAATAGTAAAACATTATTTATTGATATCCATGTAATATGTAGGTAACGAAGAGTTTTCAACTTAAAAGTCCATTCAAACAATATTAATTAATACAAATCAGGAGCAGACCAAACAAAGATCTCTAATAGGTTATCAATGACAATGACAATGATTTATTCTATTAAATGTACAAACATACGTAGTAGAGATGAGGTAAGAAAAGATACAAACACATAAAAAAAGAATATAATACATGTAGAATAAACAGTACAAAATATCAGAAGTGGGATCAAGTAAGCGACCGGTCACTGGTCACACCTGCCGTCTGTTTTGTTGTTTTTTTTTTTGTCATGGTCGCGTATATAAACGAAAAAATTCCTTAAACAAATCAATGTAAATAATGACCTAACAATTAGTATGATAAACGCCTATCAGCATTTGATTAATTGAATGATTTAGACTGTATTTGCTGACAAGATCGTTGTATCCGTTATAGAACATACAAAATAATGACTTTACACGAGACTGTTCATTTTCTTTTATCATAAATACAAATGTTCGTTGTTGTTCTGTAACTCTTTTGTTGAAGTTATAAACAACAGGAATTAAAGTTCTCAAATACAATTCTGACTTGTTTATATCACATCTGTATTGGTCGTCTTAGAAGGATAATTCACGGCTTTTTAAGGCCGATTGTGTAAGTTGTCGGTCCGGAAGTATCGTTGCATTTCATTATGTTCTCTAATTCCTGTAATGGTTGGACAGTGCTATTATGTTTGGAATTTATCATTGAGTCAAATGCTGACTGACGTTTTTCATACCAATTGTTAGTCCATTATTTATACACTTGATTGACGACGGATTTTTTCCTTTCTTTCCCGATCATGACAAGGAGCGCACTGCGGGTGTGACCGGTCGGCAGGGGATGCTCACTCCTCCATTGAACCTGATCCCAACTCTGATGTTTCGGAGGTCCGTGTTTGCTCTGCTCTTTTTTGTTATATTTCATGGACTTTTGATCTTGAGTACTGTTCGTTACCTCCATATCTTTCATATAAAAGTTAAAAGGTATTTATGAACACTGATCTTTCTTTAAGAAATCTACGAACATTACAAAGACAGCATAAAGCAGGGACTCCTTGAAATTCCAGGGGCGGAATCAGGTGCTTAGACGGAATAAGCATCCCTTGTAAAACCAAACACTCCAATCTGTGAATTGAAGAGGTAGACGTACATGTAAACTTCAGTATCAAATCAATAGAAATTTCTTGGAGGAACATACTTAACAGTCATATTGCGGAAAGAGAAGCGTAAGTAGGGGAAGTAGAAAGCATCCGAAGGTAAGCACTTTGTAAGAATGTCCTAACTGTCCGCTTGTCTGGTCATCCGTGCGATTAGCTGAAAAATAAAAAAAATATTTTCTACACTTCTGATTTTAAACGAGATAACATTTGAAGGATTATATATTATGTTTATTAAAAGTGAGATAAAATTTGAAGGTTAATAAAAATTATGTTTATTAAAAAAAATCAAATTTAAAGTCATGAACAGATTTAGTGTGTAGAGCTGATTAATTAAAAGATAAAACAAATGAATCTAAAGTCAGAATATCTAGCTTCGAGTTTGAAAATTTCTGCAATTTTTATCTCTCTTATTCCTATATTCTTAAGATATTTTTTCTTAATAAAATATGTTACTTAATCAAATTGATTATTTATATGACTGATTATGGTCATACGTGTCTTATCTTTATTTTCTGATCATAAATCATAAATATAGGGTCAAAGTTCTTGTTTCACTCGTCAGATTTCATGTCGACTTGTCAGATGTTTTTATTGACTTTTAACCCAACACTTTACCCGGACACCTGATATCACCTCTGATTTAATGGAGGTTTGTATTTGCCCTGTTTCTGAATTGTATTCTTCAAATAGACTTTGATCTTGAATACCATTCCTTATCTCCATATTTCAAATCAATAAGTAGTAAATGTCATTGTCAATTCATACCATCTTATCTATTTGACATTTTTTGCGTAGAATGGATGTAATATTATTGTTCATCTGTATAGTCCAGGTGTACAGATTTTAATATTGCTTACATTTAATGTTCATGTTCATGTTTACAGATTTTTATATTGTAAACATATAATGTTTACAAATACAAACATTTTAAAGATGTAATTGTCATATACATGTTAACAGATATTTACCTTGGTTACACACCTTTTTATATGTAATGTTCATCTTAACTTATTACATTGTTTACAGTGTAACATGTTTTTTTCTTGTTTACCTGTAATGTTCGTATATACAGATATATATCTTATTTACACACTAGTAGATTGTTTACAGATAAATGCATGTACCATGTTTACATGTAATGTTGCTATTTACAGATATTTATCTTACTTGTATTTACAAACATGTACTAGTAGATTGTTTACAGATACATACCTGTACCATGTTTACATGTAAAGTTCGTATATACAGATATATATCTTATTTACATGCTTGTAGATTATTTAAAGATACTAGAACATGCATGTATCATGTTTACATGTAATGTTGGTATTTACAGGTATTTATCTTATCTACATACCAGTAGATTGTTCACAGATACAAACATATACCATATTAACATGTTATGTATTTACAGATATTTACCTTGTTTACATGTGATGTTGATGTTTACAAACTTTCCATCCATCTCACATTGTATCTCCTGCCCATACACGTATGGTAGAATTAACTGAGCACCATTAGGAAGACCTGAAAAGTTACAAATCACAATCTTTTAGTATTAAAGGAAAAAAAATATCTTAAAACATGCATTTTATACTATCCTTTCTCTGCTTTGGTCATAACTATTGTAATATTCATCTTTACGCTTTTAAAATAAATCAAGATGTGTCTGTGAAACACTAAGCACCCGGCGGCAACAAAGTTCCAAAAATATTTTAGTATACAGGTCAGAGTCAAGGTCACAATGTCATTGTCCTTGGTGTCCTATGAAAAAAAAAAAATTATTGGAGTATGCATACCGAATATAAAGTCTCTATCTCCTATGGTTCAAAAGTTAAGGCAAAAGTTCGAAAAAGCTATCTTAGCATGAAGGTCACAGTCAAGGTCACGAGATCATTTACCTTTGAGTCATTTGAAAGAGCTTAATCAGTGAAGTATGCATATACCAAATATATAGTCTTCATCTTTCATCGTTCAAGGTTATGGCGAAGGTTAAAGTTGACTACAGACAGACAAACAAACAGCTAAACAGACAGACAGGACAAAACAATATACCCTTGTGATCTATCGATCCGGGCGCATAATAAAAACATGTATTATCTGGCTAAAATAAATTTATGAGAATTAAATATAAATAATGGATACCCATGGTTTAGTTTATTAATGATAAGGCTTTGATATAAATACTGGTTACCTTTGGTTGAATGTGTTATTTATATGACTTTGATATAGATACTGGTGACATGTGCTTGACTCTGTTATTAGTCCCCTACCGGTGAAACTGGATAGATAGATATATAGATAGATACTTAGATATTTATTTGGTATACTACATATACGTTGTTACAATGTATTATTGACAATATAATTTTATGATAAAAGTTTTCACTAAACAATAGAATTAAGATAAAATATCGTCAAAAAATTTGTTTTCGAAAAACATATATATATATATATATATATATATATATATATATATATATATATATATATATATATATATATATATATATATATATATATATATATGATATGATCACATTACATTTGTATACCAAGGATAACCTATGAAAGCCAATGGGTTATTTCCAATGGGGTCCTTATACTCATACATATATATTGGATGTTAAATAAATAAAACAGAAAATTATATATACTGAGGGGATTATAGGTTTCTTTTGAATCTCTCTGTCCGTCTGCCTGTCTGTATGTCTGTTTGTCCTTTGTCTGTTAGTCTGTCTTTTTTAGATTATTTTTAACGCTTGCATGCAGATATTTATATTAGCTGATTCTTGGAATGTAAGTGCAGTTTGATGAATTAAAGTTTGAATTTGGTTCCGTGTCATTGATCTCTGACGGAATGACATTGTATTTATCCCATTTAAAAAAAATTGGATCACGATCGGGTTTCTGATGCAATAAATAAATGTTCCATACGAGCTTGTATTATATAGAGAAAGGGGAACTCGGTAGGGGACATGCATTGACCGTTTCACGGTAACTGCGGTACTGCTCTTTGCAGGGCAAAATGTGGTGAAATATGACGTAAAAGTAAATGTGAAATATACGTCATTTAATTATCTCTTAACAAAAACTTCGCCAAGTGTTATTATTTTGCCCTGAAAAAGTGTAGTACTGCAGTTACCGTGAAGGGGCTTTTTACTTATACAACACTCTCAGAATGCTTGTTCATAAGACTTTGATATAAATACTTGTATTCTTTGGCATACTCTCTTACATTTTTGTGATTTTTCCTGCCTCTTGCACGTTACCAGCATGTTTCCGGTTGTTAAGTTTTTTATCGTCATTCCATGTTTAGATAAATTGTAGGAGTTGTGTTCACAGGTTATCTGCGCATGCGTTCTGTTGCATTCGACAGTGTGTTGAAATTCAGATACTAAAACAATAGAATAATACTCTTTTACAACAAATATTCTTCAATGAAAAAAAAATGCAAACAATTAATTCAATCAAATAAATAACAAAATAAGAGGATGGTTCAGTTCAAATAACTTAACCTGTATTCAACATGTTCCACGTCACTTTTAAGAGAAACAGAATTTCATTTTAATACCAGAGACCCTTTTTTAAAAATGTACACAAAATGATCAGAGGTCTTTTTCTCCCCGCATACAAATCTCAAGAGCCCTTTCTTTGATGTTTACATGGAAAACATTTGATAGCAGCATTAACGATAGGTGTTGTATTAGTGGATATAAAATAATGATACTGTATAAACTGGAAAATTCCTTTCAGACAAAAAAACCAAACTGTTTTTGTCGTAGTTTGTGTTTCACTCGTCAGCTTTTATGTCGACTTGTCAGATCTTTTTACTGACTTTTAACGCAACCCTTTATCAAGGCACCTGATATCACCTCTGATTTATTGGAGGTTTGTGCTTGCCCTGTGTTTTCTCTGTTTCAAATTTGTATGATTTGTATGAATTCTTCAAATAGACTTTGATCTTGAATATCATTCCTTATCTCCATATTTAATTTGATAAATCAATAAACAGTAAATGTCCTTGTTTATTCATAACATCTAGTTGACATTATTTTGCGTAGAATGCATGTAATATTATTGTTCACCTGTATAGTCCAGGTTTAAAGACGTTTACATGTTTTACATGTAATGTTCATGTTTACAGTTTTTTACATTGTTTACATTTAATAATTACAAATACAAAATTATTAAGGCTGTAATGGTCATGTTTATATTTATATACCCTCTTTACCTGAAATCTTCATGTTTACAGATATTTACATGACTTTTTGTATTTCCTTTATTGGTAACATAAAATGATAAAAAAAACCATACCTACCGTTTTGAATGTAATGTTCGTGTTTACTCATTACATTGTTTTCTTAAATTCATATTTAACAGATATTATTATTGTTTACCTGCAATATTCATATTTACAGATATTTATCTTATTAACATACTAGTAGATTGTTTACAGATATATACATGTGCCATGCTAATATATAATGTTCGTATTTACAGATATTTATATATCTTATTTACATACTCGTAGATTGTTTACAGATACATACATGTACCATATTAACATATAATGTTCGTATTTACACATATTTATCTTATTTACATACTAGTAGATTGTTTACAGATACATACATGTAACATTTTAAAATGTAATTTTCGTATTTAAAGATATTTATCTTAACTTCATACTAGTAGATTGTTTATAGATACATACATGTACCATGTTAACATGTTATGTCGGTATTTACAGATAATTATCTTATTTAGATACTAGTAGATATTTTACAGATTCATAAATGTACCATGTTTACATGTAATGTTTGTATTTACAGATATTTATCTTATTTACATATACTAGTAGATTGTTTACAAATACATACATGTAACATGTTAAAATGTATTGTTCGTATTTAAAGATATTTATCTTATCTACATACTAGTAGATTGATTATAGATATATACACGTACCATGTTAACATGTAATGTTGGTATTTACAGATATTTATCTTATTTACATACTAGTAGATTTTTTTACAGATACATACATGTACCATGTTTACCTGTAATGGCCATGTTTATGGATATTTACCTTGGTTACATGTAATGTTGATGTTTATAAATTGTCCATCCATCTCACATTGTATCTCCTGCCCATACACGTATGGTAGAATTAACTGAGCCCCATTAGGGAGACCTGAAAAGTAACAAGTCACAATGTTTTAGTATTTCAGAAAAAAATATTGTGAAAAACTCGCATTTTAGACTATCCTTTCTCTGCTTTAGTCATAACTGTTGTTATATTCATCTTTACGATTTCAAAATAAAAATAAATACATGTATTATCGGGCTAAAATAAATTTATGAGAATTAAATATAAATAATGGGTACCTGTGGCTGAGTTTGTTATTTATACGACTTTGATATAAATACTAGTGACCTGTGGCTGACTGTGTTAATTATAAGACTTTGATATAGATACTGGTGACATGTGCTTGACTCTGTTATTAGTCCCATACCGCTAAAACTGAAGGGGATTATAAGTTTCTTCTGAGTCTTTCCGTCTGTTCGTTAGTCCGCTTGTCTGCCTGTCTACTTGGTTTCTTTTTTTGACGCTTGCAGGTATTTAGACGATTTTTTGGTGTGTTAGCGCATCTTGATGAGTTAAAATTCAAGTTTGAATTTGGTTCTGTGTCATTGACCTCTGACGGAATGACAAGACAATTTTGATTTATCTTAATAAAGGTTTGAAGTACGATCGGGTTGTGATGCAATGAATTAATGTTCCATACGAGCTTGTATTATATAGAGAAAAAGGGGAACCCGATAGGGGACATACATTGCTTATGCAATACTCTCAGAATGCGTGTTCATTGGACTTTGATATAAATACTTGTAACCTTTGGCATACTCTCTCATACATTTTTGTGATTTTTGCTGCCTCCAGCACGTCCCCAGTATGTTTCCAGTTGTTAAGTTTTTTATCGTCATTCCATGTTTAGATAAATTGTAGGAGTTGTGTTCACACATTATCTGCGCATGTGTTCTGTTGCATTCGACAGTGTGTTGAAATTCAGATACTAAAACAATAGAATAATACTCTTTTACAACAAATATTCTTCAACTTATCAAAAATGCAAACAAATCAATCCAATGAATAACAAAATAAGAGGGTGGTGGGAAAATTAATTCAAATAACTTAACCTGATTTCCACATCAATTTTAAGAGAAACAAAATGTCATTGTTATACGAGAGACCCTTTCTTTAAAATGTACACAAAATGACCAGAGGTCTTTTTCTCCCCGCATACAAATCTCAAGAGCCCTTTCTTTGACGTTTACATAGAAAACATTTGATAGCAGCATTAACGATAGGTGTTGTATGTTGCAACCACTATTGAAATAACGACCACTATTGATATAATTATATCAATAGTGGGTGAGAGTGCATTTCAATAGCAAACATAGTTAGTAACCACTATTGAAATACGACCACTATTGAAATAATTATATCAATAGTGGTTGAGAATGCATTTCAATAACAAATATACCGGTAGTTAGTAACTATGTTTGCTATTGGAATGCACTCTCAACCACTATTGATATAATTATTTCAATAGTGGCTGTATTTCAAAAGTGGTTACTAACTATGTTTGGTATTGAAATGCACCCTCAACCACTATTGATATAATTATTTCAATAGTGGTCGTATTTCAATAGTGGTTACTAACTATGTTTGCTATTGGAATGCATTCTCAACCACTATTGATATAATTATTTCAATAGTGGTCGTATTTTAATAGTAGTTACTAACTATGTTTGCTATTGAAATGCACTCTCAACCACTATTGATATAATTATTTCAATAGTGGTCGTTATTTCAATAGTGGTCGTTATTTCAATAGTGGTTGCAACAGAGCAGCGGTAAAGAAAATAAAAGAGAGAACGATTTACGATTTTATTTACAATGTAATACTTACTGCATGGTACCATGTATAATTCATATTCAAAGACACTTCCATTTGAGCATGTGACGCTTACTTCCAAAACGTTGTCGATGTGTGATTTATAGTCCATAGGGAAGACAACATTAAGGAGGTTGTCTTTCCCGCTGAATTGTCCACCGTTTACACATTTTCTGTTTTCACAGTGTGTGATCTCGTTTCCTCCTCTGATTTTAGCTCTAGCTCCACTGAATTCACAGGTGACATTGATGCTTACATTTAACATCTGGCCATCACATACTCCTCGTTTGAGTTCTTCTTGATTCAGAAAAAAGGATAAGCTTCCTCCAACTAAAGAAATCGTACATAATTATAATTTACATCAAGTATTTTTAAATGAATAATTGCGTGCGTGAAATGAAAAAAAAATGTCAACAACCAATATAAAAAAGTATTTTAAAAAGTCAATTCCTGAATGACAGACCATCCTCGTTAAATTGAACTCGATTGAACCAAAATTGTCGACATACGAAGGGAATCGAGATATTGAGGTTATACGAGGGATAGAGATTAGGTGGTAAAAATTTCCGAATAACATCAACATTGTCATTGTGTCAAAGCCAAAAAAGTGTATTTATGTATTACAGGCATCATTGCCTACATTTAAATCTGTTTAGCAGCAGGAAATACTATTCATATAGGAGCATAAAGATTGATTACAAATTGAACGGATTATGTTTTAAAAGATTTTTAACAGTGAAATACTATTAGTTATCCAGGTTCAATCAAGGGTGTACGGGGATTTACCCCGGGTTTTATTCCATACACCCTGAGGCCGAAGGCCGAAGGGGTGTATGGAATAAAACCCGGGGTAAATCCCCGTACACCCTTGATTGGACCTGGATAACGAATTTATTTCCTTTGAGGCCGAAGGCCGAAGGGTGTATGGAATAAAACCCGGGGTAAATCCCCGTACACCCTTGATTGGACCTGGATAACGAATTTATTTCCTTTGTACCCATCGAAATGCTTTGTTATCATCAGAATGTGTCCCAATCTAGCGATTAGATAACTACGTACTACAATGCATCGTGACGTCATGTTATTTGGTTTTTATCATAGAGAATGTATGCATTGTGACGTCACGTTTTATTTACACCCGGCTCAAGTCGGGTGCACGGATATTTACACCCGACTTTGTAACCAATCAAAGCTCGTGTTACAAGCTAGTTAGGAAATAATAGTATTTATTCATTGAATAAAAATGATATTCTGTTACAGTGTGAAAGGTTTCCAGATGATATCATTTCACAGTGTGAAAAATATCAGAAGCGCGGTGAAACTCTGGATTTTCCTTCCAATAACAAAGAATCTTGTAAAAGATACTCCTTCTTCCTTTACAAAATAAAAAAAAAAATTCTGACACATGGAATAAAACCTCCAAAAGATCCCCCATATATGTTGTTGAAATCCTTGTTAACAACGTTTTCAATTACACAACACTTAGCTATAATGTCTCAACCGCTCGACAATGACGTCATGTAGCCTTGAATTCCATTATAAAATCAAGGAAAATGGAAAATTAAAGAAAATATAGTAAACAGAAAATTCAATTTTTCCAATCGTGAAACTATAAAAAAAAATCCTGTACCACTTGTGATTTAAATTCCATATCCAACTACAAAACATATTGAATATCCTCTATATCTGCAATGTTCTGTCGTAGACAGACACTTATTTAATCAAAGAATTTTACTTACATGGACACTGTAATGACACAGGAATACTGTATAGATTATCAAATCTTTGGAATAATCAAGACTTTCTTAGATTTTGTGATTTTCTTTTCAGATGATAACAGCAAATTATCGGCACACTAATAACATGAGCAGTTACAATGAGTATGACAAAATTGACGACTATAAATTTATGTCATTTAAGTATATAACAAATAACGACTAAAACTACCTTGTACATGTTGTAGTGTTAAAAATAAAATACACTGACGAATTATCCAGCTGTCTGCATAAATAATCTGCATGATACATATGGCACACTGAATATGTCTCCTTGTCAAAGTCTTCTTAATTCGGTATTGCTATGATAAAAAAAAAGAATTAAAAAACTTTAAATGGCCCGTTTCTTTATACACTGTCA